GTGGCGCGATCCTTCGACTCCATCTACTCGGACCACATCAAGGAGTTCTGTAATAAGCATAAGCTCCCGACGGTCCGCGCGGATGTCTTGTACGGTCGGAGCGAGGTATCAGATCGAGGTCGGCTCGGGGAGTGCACCCTCGCGTCCTTCGTGCTTGTGGCGTGCCCATCGGCATCCCTGGGGGAGGGTGCCCTCGAATGCTCTTCCGTTTGACCGGCGGAGGGTCTCTCATGCTTTTGAGAAGGATGTTCTTCCGTCCTGTGCCCGGCCCTATCGGCGCGGGGCCCCCCAGCGGCGCCTCTGGCGCCGCCCCTGGCGCGCTCCGCGCGCCGAGGCGGGGAGGCCCAGCGCCGATGCGAGGAAGCCGCGCGCGGTCCCCCTCCCCCTGGGCGGTGACCACACCGTGCGGTGAGTCGATGGGGATCTGGGGTCACCGCACGGTTCTGGGACTCGGGCCGTTCTCCGAGGAGGTCTCGGGCGGCAGGGGCCTCCGGGGTCCCAAGCCCGTGCGGCGACGGAACATGCCGTGAGGTGTCGGGGGAATTCGAGGTCACCGCACGGTCTGTCACCGCACCGTTTCGGGACTCCAAAGCCCCGAGGACAAGGAGGAGCAGCGAGGAGGAGGAGGAGGAGGAGGAGGAGGAGGAGGAGGAGGAGGAGGAGGAGGAGGAGGGGTGGACTTCGCTTCGGGTGCGTGCGCCCAGTGGCCTGCCGAAGAAAGGGGGGGTGGAGAAGGAAAGGCCCCCGAAGGGGGCCCTTCTCTCCTCGGCCCCCCACCCTGTTTTGGAGCCAGCAGGGGGCCCCGCACGGGGCCCTGCCCCCCTCGTGGGCGCTCTGCGTCAGGGCCTCCAAGGGGGGCCGCTTTGTAGGGCCCCTTGCCGCGCGCCCGAGGGAGGGCGGGCCTCGCCCTGGCCAGCCTGAAGTCGGGCCTGCTCCTCTGACGGAGGAAGGGTCAAGCCTAGTCAAGAGAGCGTCTGGGGACGAGCTTCGATCATCTGGAACCATTCATGATTTTTGTCCTTTGAATGCTGCCACTTTCATCGGGCGTGTCCCGGCCAGCCTTAAATCGGGCGTGTCCCTCTGACGGAGGAATGGCCAAGCAGAGTCAAGAAGGTGTCTGGGGACGATGTTCGATCATTTCTATGGACCGTTTATGATTTTTGTCCTTTGACTGCTGCCACTTTGTCTTTTCAGATCCGCCGGTAGGAGGACGTGCCGACAGAAGGCCAGCCTCTCGGGCCGCGCTTTTTTGCGGGGGGCAGCGGGGGCCTCCTCCACCCGACGCCCGGGAGGCCCCTGGCATCGGCGGCGGCGGCGGGCCCAGGCATCCGATGCCGCGAGTTGGAGCAAGCCGGGGGGCCACGGTGGCCCAGCACTTTGTGGGCCCCGGAAACGGCAGGGCCCTTTCTTTTACCACCTCCAGAAAAATGTCCCTTGAAAGTGGAAACGGCAAAAACACGGCGACCGGAAACGGCAAAAAAACGGCTCCAGGATTGGAACCAGAGCCTGAACCGGTCGAAAAACGGCGACGGAACCGGTATAAAAACGGCGTCGGAACCGGCAAAAAAACGGCAAAACGGAACCGGTAAAACAACGGCCCTGTCGTTTCCAGGGCCCACTAAGGCCCAGCATTGGTGCTCAGGCGATCGCAGACACGTATCAAGGGTTCCGCTTCCATGGGAGATCGCACCTTTTTCCTCCGCCGAGCGGGGCGGCACTGGCCGAATTTTGGGGAGGGCACCTCCCCCGATCCATGGATTTGGCGACCGCGCGCCGAATCCATGGATCGTGAATCCATGTTTGCGCACACCCGAGGTCTGCGGCAAGCAGGAGTCGAACAACAAACACCCACATAAACGTAAACTTGTGGCGCTCCGCGCGGATTTCTTGGTTCCGCGCTGGCCCCCCCCCCGGCGACGCCTCTGGCGTCGCCCCTAGCGCGCTCCGCGCGCCAGGGAGGGGGGTCCAGCGCGGATCCAAGAAATTCCGCGCGGACCTTTGAAAGGTTCTGCTCATTTTGTTTTGCTCTTCTGCGGAGGGCGGGGGGATGTTCGAGGTTTTGGGTTCGGGAAGGTTCTCTCCATTCTTCAGTCTCGGGAGGGCGTCTTTGGGCCCCAGGACTGTGAAAAATTGCTCCGGGGTGGAAATCCGCATCAGCGTCGGCGTCGACGCCGACCTCGTCGTTTCTCCGGTCGCGCGCGGATAGGTGGTGACATCTGAACCTTACACCTTCAACCACCGGTTCTTCCGAATCGATGGGAGGCGGGGGTGGGGTTCGGGCTTTGCCACACGTCCGACGACGAATTTCGCACCTTATTATTTCCCGCCGCCCATCGAGTTGCCTGAGTCGAGTATATTATACGGATTGACTGTGTCGGCGTTGTGCCCGCTGACGACGCCTCCGGCGCCGCCCTCGGCGCGCTCCGCGCCTTAAGGCGGAGTGGGGGGGGGGCCAGCGCCGGCGCAAGGAATCCGCGCGGGCCTCCTCCCTCGAGCGGGGGGTGGCAACTGGGGGGGGGAGAAGAGGCCCCACAGGGGCCCGAGAGGGCCCCCTGTGGAGGTAGCAGGGGCCCAAAAGGAGCCCCAAAGGGCCCCTGTCGGGCCCTTGTGGTCACCCCCCTCCCTTTGGGAGCCAGCAGGAGCCCAAGAGGGGCCCGATAGGGCCCCTTTGAGGCTCTTTCCGTCAAGGGCCCCAAGCGGCCCTTGACGCCCGCTGGGCCCCCTTTTGAGAGGCAGCTGGGGCCGAGGGTGAAGTCGGGCATGTCCCTTCACAGGAGGAGTATCCCAAAGTAGGAAAACCTCCTCAGGGGACGATGCGTTCCTCATTTCCTGCTGCTGTCTCAGACTATTCCCCGTTTTTTCTCCAGGATCCGCCGGAAGGAGGACGTGCCCGGCCTCAGCCGAGGGCAGGCTTCAGCTCCCGCCGCCGGTCGGAGGCCCTGGAGGGCGGGGCCGCGGAGCTCTTCGCGCCCGCGGCGGAGCTGGCGAGGGGCGCGCTGGCCGCGGAGGCGCTGCAGGGGCTGCGGGAGGCGCCGGCGGGCTCCCGGGCGGGAGGAGGAGGGCGACGACGACGAGAACGACCGCCGAGAGCGACGGCGACGGCAACGACGACGACGACGACGAGGACGACGACGACGAGGACGACGACGAGAACGCCGACGACGACGGCGGCGACGACGAGGACGACGAGGACGAGGACGAGAACGAGGACGAGGACGAGGACGTCGCGGACGGCGAGGACGACGAGGGCGTTGAGGACGAGGACGAGGACGTCGAGGACGACGAGGGCCTCGAGGACGAGCACGAGGACGAGGAGGATGTGGACGTGGAGAATGAGGACGTTGGATCGGCGGCGACATGCGAGGCCTGTCCTCGCCGATCGACAAGATTCCAGGCAGCTCGATGGGCGGCGGGGGGTCATAGGGTTCGGAACTCGTCGGGCACGCGGCGGAGCCCGAAGCCACCACCCGCCTCCCATCCATTTGGGAGAGTCGGTGGTCGGTGGGGGCAGGTTCAAGTCGGGCCTGTCCCTCTGCAGGAAGAATATGCAGAAATAGTACACAAATAGTCTGGGGACGATTTTGTTCGATCATTGTTGCGCCTTTTTTCTGCATTCTTTTAACTATGTGTTCATTTTCGCCCGAAATCCCCCTGTAGGGGGACAGGCCCGGCCGAAGGGTATAGGGTTCGGAATGCGTCGGGCACGTGGCGAAGTCCGCACCGCACCCCCGCCTCCCATCGATTCGGGCGAGCCGGTGGTTGGTGGGGGCAGGGTTCGGATGTCGCCAAAGAACGGGTCGGCGAATATGATGGGTGTGGTCATGCGGGGGTGTGGTTTGCGGTCGGCGCCGTCGGAGCTTGTAGGGGTCGCCACGTTGCGCGAAGAAGGTTTCGATGAGTCCTCGTCAAGGCGCGGCAGAGATCTCAGTCGAGGTCCTTGCCCGCCCCCCTCTTGGCGCAGGTTGCAAACCCCACCCTTTCTGTGCAAACCGCACCATTCGGAGTCGCCGAAATGCGAGAGGGATAGAGGGGAAACGGCAGAAAACGGAGAGATGATGAGGGAGGACGAGGGGGGGACCAAAGTCAATGCCAGACGCATCAACGATGTTGCAATATACTCTCTCCAAGTTCTCTCTTCATATATCCATACAAAAAAGCCATTATCATTGCGGGGAGCGCACCATTGGAAGATAACCGTTAGAGAATCCTCGATCGTGCCATCATTCCTTGGAATTCAGCGCCGCGAATCAACGTGATAGTTGCCCCCAGTAGATCTTGCCGTCTTGCTGGCCTCTCTGGGCGCTTCAGGGCCGCCTTGGAGACACTCTTGGGCGTCTTGCAAGCCTCTTGGGGCCGTCAGGGGGCCATCTCGGAGGCCTTTTGGGAGCTCTTGAGGCCATCTTGGTGGCCTTTGGGGCCGCCTTGGCCGTCGGCAAGAAAGCCGAGACAGTAAACGCCCAAATCCTCCAAGAATATCGGGAACATGACTGGTTTGGGGCTCTTCGGTCCTTCTGGAGGTCCTCTTGGATACCTCTTTGGCAGTTTTGGAGACCTCTTGGGCCGTCTTGACCGATCTTGGGGCGGTGGGGCCTTGGTATCGCTCGGACGTGTGCACTTTTTCTCGGCGGGGATTATTAAGGAGCGTCCTAGATCATCCTGCGACAAAAACCACGCACGAAAGCGAAAACAAGCACAGGGAATGGACGTCCGAGCGACGGGGAGGGGCCATGGGCCAGGTTTTTCGCTATTTTCAGCCTCTGCAGGGGTCCCTCACAGGGCCCCGGGAGCTCCAAGAAACGACTCGGGACGAAAAACCGGCTTTGGGGCACCGATCTCTGGGGGTCGACGTTGCGTGAAACAGTGACTCCTGCACAGCATGTGATACAGGAAGTGTAGTATCTATTCTTTATCTCAGATTGGAAGAGCCTCAGGCATGTGGGGCTCAAGTTCGAGTTCAGAGCAAAAGGTGCCACTTCACAAGTCATGGTAGCGATTGCGAGGTGAGCCCCACGTGCCTCCAGGCAGCGGCCGATGCGCAATGGCGGCGACGGTCGAGCAGATGAGAGAGCTGGCGGACAGGCTGCTGGCGCTTGAGAGAGACAATGCCCAGATGGTCGAGGAGCTCCGACGCGTGAGGCAAGAGGGTCCTCACCAGCAGATCGTGGAAGCGTTCAGAGAAGCGCTAGAGGAGACTCGAGGTCGGAGGTCAGGCGGCAATCTCATCGACACGAAGGGACTCAACAAGCCGTCGGTGTTCTCGGATGACGAGTCATCATTTATCACGTGGTCGAGGAAGCTGGAGAATTTTGTGGCCAATGTCTATCGTGAGGCAAGAGAGCTGCTAGCCACTGCCGCGGAGCAGGTGGAGTCGGTCACGTACCAAGTACTTCAAGGGGATGATCTTCAGAACCCGAGGATCGGCCAGGAGATGTTAGAGGAGATCGATGACCAGTTGTATGTAGTGCTCTCGTCGCTGACGGACGGCGAGGCGTTCAATATCACGGTATCAGCAGGGAGTGGCAACGGCTTTGAGGCGTGGAGGCGCTTGAACAGGCGCTTCGACCCCATCACGGCAGGCAGGTCGCGGAGCATCCTCCGCAGTATCATGGACCCAGGCAGGGCTAAGCTTCAGGACCTCCAGGCTGCCATCGAGAGGCTGGAGGAGTTGATGAGACGTTACGAGAGCCGGAGGGACACCGCAGGACAGCGCCGCACGCTCGCAGAGGACATCAAGATGGCGGCGCTGGAGGCCATGCTCCCAGACGAACTAGAACGGCATGTGCAGATGAACAAGAATCGCATCACGTCCTATGCCCTGATGCGTGAGGAGGTGACCACCTATGCAGAGAGCCGCGCCGGTGTCACGACTAAGGCAGCGGCCAAGCCCCCGTCCAAGCCTGTCGCCACGGACCCGGATGCCATGGACACCAGCGCCCTCTGGCGCGACACTGGCAAAGGCAAGAAGGTTGAATGGAAGGGCAAGGGCAAAGGCGACAGCAAGGGCAAGGGCAAGGACGGGAAAGGTAAAGGCAAAGAGTCCAGCTCCAAGGGTGGCAGGCAGTCCGGCAAGAAGGGATCCATGAACGACGCCTACGGCTCCGCCAAGCAGATGTGCTGGAACTGCGACAAGCCTGGCCACGTCGCAAAGGACTGCTGGGCGCCACCTCGTGGACAAGGCAAAGCAGGAGGAAAGCAAGGAGGCAAGACGAGTAAGGATTCGAAGAATAGCTCGAAGGGAGGTCAAGGGAGCCTAGATTACGAACCAGAGCAGGAGCGCGACGCCGGTGCTCTGGAAATGTGCTGCTTGGACTCGAGGCATGACGAGTGCCTTCAGCTGGCGAGCTTCGAGGACTCTGAGAAGAGCCGATGGGTTCGGATGAATTTCGACACGGGCTCCGCGAAGACGGCGTTCCCTCTCGAGATGGATGGCGGCGAGGCCATGAAGACGGAGAGTGTCCTCAACTTCAGGACCGCCACCGGGGAGATTATCAACAGCACCGAGGGCTACAGCATTCGCGGCATCACGGAGCACCAGCAGCTGCTGAAGTTCAAGGGCGTAAAGGCGCCCGTCCACAAGGTGCTCCTCAGCGCGGGAGATGTCACAGGAGCAGGGAACGATGCATTCCTCATGGGCGACTTCGGTTACATCATCCATGGGAACTCCCCGGTGCACGCAGAGCTGAGGGCCGCGTTCAGAGAGATCGCGGCACGGCACAGTTATGAAGGCATCGTCACCATGTACAAGGAAAGGAACGTGTACAACCTCTACGTGAACGTGAATAAGGACGAGGAAGGCGGGCACGACCTGTGCCCCTACGACGAGGGCCAGCCGGGTTTCCGGCGGCCGGGCCAGCGCCTGTAAGTCCAGCAGGAGCGGGAGCGGGCGGCGAGCCTGCAGCCAGCGCTCCCGGAGGTGATGAAGAGATGCAGGCAGAGGATGAAGCTGTGGAGCAGGAGGTGCCGAAGCAACCTCACCGAGTGAAAGCTCCAACGAGAGAGGAGGTAGAAGATCACGAGTCCAGCGGCCACGCCGTGCACCGCACGTGGTGCCGGCACTGTGTCGCTGGAAAAGGCCAGCAGCACCCGCACCTGAAGCAGACAGAGGAGAGCTTGGAGGTGGAAGCATGCTTCGACTACGGCTATATGGGCAGGCGTGCAGAGGAGTGCGCGCCGATTATCTGTGCGAGGGAGACGGGCCAAGGAAGCTACGCAGCCACGACGGTGCCCACGAAGGGAGCGGCACCGTACGCCATCGCCTACATGGTCGGCTGGTTGAAGGGCCTTGGCTACAAGAAGATCATATTCAGATCGGACAACGAGCACGCGCTGCTGAAGCTGCTGGACAAGGTGTCGGAGAATCTCATGGGCGTGGAGTGCGTGCCTCGCACATCGCCTGAAGGGGACAGCCAGGCCAACGGGAGAGCAGAAGCAGCGGTCAGGGAGATCAAGAACCAGTGCCGGGTGCTGAGGAGCGAGCTGCGCGAGAAGTATGGGAAGCCTATCCCAGAGAAGTGCTCGCTGTTCACGTGGCTGCCAAGGTTTGCGGCCAACTGCGTGAACCGCTACAGGCTCGGCAAAGATGGCAGGAGCGCAGAGCATAGGCGCTCCGGCAGGAGATGGAAGCGCCCGGCGGTCAACTTCGGCGAGAAGGTGATGCACCGCCCGGCAGGGGCGGTCAAGAGCCAAGCGAGCTTGGAGGACAGGATGAAGATGGGCATCTACGTCGGGCATAATGAACGATCTGGGGCCTCGATGTTCATCACGGAAGGAGGTATGGTTCGAGGAGTCGGTATCCATCGACTTCCTGCAGGTGATCGATACGACATGGACTACCTGATGAAGTGCAAGGGATGTCCATGGGCGCCTTCTGAGCGCGGCACCGCGGACAAGCCGATGGTGGGCGCCGCGGATGGGCCGGAGGTGATTGAGATGCCGCAGCCAGCGGCGACCGCGGCAGGAGGATCAGCCGCAGCAGGAGGAGGAGGCGCACGTGCCAGTGCGGAAGATCCGAGCTCGGGCACGGCGTCGTCAGGAGGCGCAGCTGGAGAGGCGGCAAGGGCATCCCAGCTTGGCATGAGGAAGAATTTCTACGTTATGAGGGCCGATATCGAGAAGTACGGCACCACCGCGAGCTGCGCGGCGTGCAGGAAGATGCTGGAGGGCCAGCAACCCACGACAGGGCACAACAAGGAGTGCCGCGACAACATCCTGAAGAAGCTGAAGGAGGAGGGCTCTCATGAAGCAAGTGTGAGAGTCAGCGCTCACGAGTCAAAGGTGGGCAGGCCGCAAGGTGAAGCGGTAGAGGACCTGAGGGCCAAGAGGTCGCGGGTCGAGCAGGAGGAGCGACCCGCGCAGGAGGTGGCAGGCGAGCCGCCTCAGGAAGATCTTGAAGAGGGACCCGCTCAAGGAAGCGAGGTCAGGAGGCCTGAGGAGGTGCGGAGGCGCGCCGACAGGCGAATACGAGAGGCGCTCAGCGGCAGTGAGATGCAGGGATCGCCTGCGGCCAAGGCACGCCTGTCCGCGCCTAGAGGAGTCAAGAGAGACGGAGGCGAGCCGGGAGATGCGGCTCGAGGTGACGGAGGACACGTTGACGATGACGTGGAGCTGCCGGCAGGGACCGGCGCAGGAGGCGCAGCCGCGAGCAGCTCTGGGGGAGGAGCTCCAGCGCCGTCCAGAGGAGGAGACCCGACGGGAGCACCCGCCGATGCGGACGCTGGAGCCCTCAGCTGCGAGAAGATCAAGATGGTCCCAGCTGTCGCGAAGAGGCTCAAGGAAGCAATGCGGCATCACGAGCTGGATGCCAGTGAGGAAGAGATAGTGAGCATGGCCATCTGCCTATGCTCGCTTGCGGCGGTGGACGTGGCCGAGATCTATACACCTCCGAGGTTTACCCCCAGTGCGGCCAGCTGCGGGATGAGGCCAGGGTTCTGCATCGACCTCACCACCGTCAAAGCCAATGGGCAGCACTGGGACCTCGCCAAGGAGGAGGACCAGAAGGAGTTCGAGGAGCTTCAGGCGAAGGAAGAGCCGAAGCTTTTGATCGGCTCGCCACCGTGCACGGATTACTGCCCGTTGTTGAGGCTCAGTCAGAGCAAAGAGGAGGTTGACGAGAGAAGGCGTGTCGGTGGCGACATGCACATCAGGGTGTGCGCCGCCGGCTACAGGAGGCAACTGGAGGCCAACGCGTACTTCCTGCACGAGCATCCGAAGCACGCGGCCTCGTGGAAGCTCAAGGAGATGGAGGAGTTGGCGGCGGACCCGCGCGTCTTCAAGGTTCACGGGCCAATGTGCAACTGGAACCTGCGCGCGGAGAACAAGCACGGCGAGACAGGGTACATTCGCAAGGAGACGACCTGGCTGACGAACTCGGTGGAGCTTGCCAAGACGCTGCGAGGGGTATGCGCGAACCACCGAGGAGGCCCGATGCACCGGCACTTGCACTTGATAGGAGGTGAGCGCGTGAAGGCGGCGGCCAGCTATACACCGGAGCTGGTTCGGGGAGTGCTACGAGCGTTCCAGCGCCAGCTCACGCACGACAATGACGAGTACGTCCAGCATAGCTTCGACGCGGTGCCGGTGCCGGACAAGACGCTCTGGTGGGACGAGCCGGAGAGCTACGAGGAGGTCGAGAAGGCTTGGGACGACATCAACCAGGAGGAGCTCGACGCGAAGGAGGTCAGGAAAGCCAGGCAGGAGGAGATGCAGTGGGTGAAGGACATGAAGGTGTTCAAGACTGTTCCCGAGGCAGAGTGTTATGAGAAGCAAGGCAAGCCGCTGACGATGAGATGGACTGATACCCGCAAGGTGACTGGAAAGTATCGCTCGAGGCTGGTTTGCAGGGAGATCAAGCGTGCCAAGAAGGTCGAGGATAGGCTCGACCCGGCGGAGGTCTTCAGTGCCATGCCCCCGATTGAGAGCCTCAAGATGCTGATCAGTGAGTGGATGACGTTGAACGACGGGCACGACATCAAGGACTTCGCGATGGCAACATTCGACATCTCTCGAGCGCACTTCTCGGCAGAGCAGAACAACAGGGAGGTGTACGCGACGCTGCCAGAAGGCTTCGAGAAGGAGGGGCACGTCGCGAAGATGCTGAAGGCTATGTACGGGACCGAGGATGCGGCCCACCTGTGGGGCGAGACATGGGCGGGCCAGCTGGAGAAGCACAAGGTTCGCGTTGGCACGGCCTCGAGAGCTCTATTCGCAAACGAGAAGTACAAAGGATTATGCCACGGCGACGACTTCGTGGTGCTATGCAAGAGGAACAACGTCGAGGAGTTCAAAGGGATTCTGAGTGAGAAGTTCGACGTGAAGTGCGGCGCGATCATTGGCTTCGCGGAGAAGGACGACAAGATCATGGCCATCCTCAACCGGGAGGTGAGGATCAACGACGTCGAGCAGTGCTTGGAGCTCGAGGCGGACAAGAGGCACGTGGAGAAGTTGCTGAAGGAATTGGGCCTGGAGAAATGCAGTATCGTGACCACGCCCAGGGTGAAGCTTACCCTGGAAGAGGTGCAGGCCCACGAGACCAGTCCTCTGCTCAGCCCAGCAGAGGCCACCAAGTACAGATCGGCGACGATGAGGTTAAAGTATGTGGACCAGGACCGCATAGACATCACCGAGTCCGTCAAGTGCTTGGCGCAGCACATGGCAGCACCGCGTGAGGGACATCTTACCGAGTTGAAGAGGCTTGTGCGGTACCTCCGTGGTGCGCCCTACGAGAAGCTGATTTACAAGGCCCAGGAGCACGGTGACATTGAGTGCTATGTCGACTCTGACTGGGCTGGGAGCCTCAAGGACCGGAGAAGCACTTCCGGCATGCTACTGTTCAGGGGTTCCCACCTGCTGAGGAGCAGCAGTGCGCTGCAATCGATCACGGCACTATCCAGCGCTGAGGCGGAATACTATGCGGCCACCAAGGGCGCCGCGTATGCGCTGGGCACCCGGAGCTACTTCCGCGACCTCGGCCGCGAGCTTGGCGTCACGGTTCACACGGACTCGAGCTCGGGCCGCAGTTTCGCATCGAGACGCGGGCTCGGGAAGATGAGACATATATGTACGAGGTATCTATGGTTGCAAGAGCAAATCTCGGGGAAGACGCTCAAGCTCTTGAAGATTGCTGGGACTGCGAACCCAGCGGACATCATGACAAAGCAGCTGCCCGTCAAAGATATGCACCGCTACATGTACGAAGCGGGGCAACGGCGCAGTGAGCAGGCACCGAGAGCATGAATTCGACGATCCGTGGACCACACTCCGCTACTTTTCAGTACGGGCGCGACGCGCCTATCATGTGCATCTGAGGCGCGAGCGAGAGGCTCGCGCGCAGTGGCGGCAGGAGCATTCACTCGTCTCGGCCGCTCCGGGGCGGCGTGACTCCTGCACAGCATGTGATACAGGAAGTGTAGTATCTATTCTTTATCTCAGATTGGAAGAGCCTCAGGCATGTGGGGCTCAAGTTCGAGTTCAGAGCAAAAGGTGCCACTTCACAAGTCAGGAACACACACACACATTCGGCCCAATCTGGCTTGTAGAAAACAAGACGCGGAGGGGGAGCCGGGACCCCTGGAAGGGGTCAGAGGAGAGAGGGGAGTTGCGCCGTGGAAATCCTGAATCGTGCCAGAACTTCATTCTTGGAACTTCAACAGGGAATCAGCGTGATTGTCGCGTCCTGACAATCCTGACTCGTGGCAGAACACCGTTCCGGGGACGTCAGCCATACGAATCCTGGATACCGTTGCAAATTTGTGCGACGAGTGCGCTAAGGTGAGAACCACATTTTGAGCAGGAGCCGCTCTCCATGAGACGAATGTTCGCGGTGTTAAGGCGAGCGCCACATTTTGAAAATGGTCCGTTGCAAATTTTAATACGATATCTGCGCGGCGCGAAGGCGTGAGCCACATTGTAAATACCTTCCTCCCTCCATCCGTGGAACTGCTGCAGACTTTCTAGCGAATGCGCGCCGCGCTAGACCGAGCACCACATGTTGAACACGACCCGTCCTCCATCAGTGCAACTGTTGCAAAAATCCATGTTCCAGGATCATGAATGGTGAGTAAGTCTCGGGCGAAGCGTTCGGCCCGCCCTACCAACACGCCTGGGGGTGCGACAGGGAGGCTTGATTTATAAGGAGAGGGATGGAGGAGGAGGAGGAGGAGGAGGAGGAGGAGGAGGAGGAGGAGAAGGCTAACGGCGAGCACCAGCTGGCACACCCAAGGCACCTGTTGTTTTATTTGCTCCTCGCTTAAGCATCCCCGCCCCCGTCTGCTCGCCTCTCCCTGTCCGCCGCTCCCCCCGTCGCCGTCGCGTTGACGTCGGCCTGCCCCACGGCCAGGTTGTGGTCCGCAGCGCCGCGGACCCCTACGTCGCTGCCGAAGAGCTCACAGGCGCCCTCCTCGCGCAGGAAGGGGGGGAGGGAGGGAGGGAGGGAGGGAGGGAGGACAAACATCACGCTGGCGCCAAGCCCAAAGCGGAGGACAGGCGAGGGCGGAGGGCTCACACAAAACCAGACTCTGCCGCGTGCCTTGCCCTTTGGCGGGGCGGGCTGCTGGAGGTCCCTTGGGCACGGATCGCCGCCGAGAGTTGCCTCCCGCGGCGCATCCCGTGCTCGAGAGAGCGTTGCAGCGCCAGCGTTGGCACCTTCGCCCTTCGCCCCCGACGGCACCCGCGCTGGGCTGGCGGCCCTCCCCTCCATCGCTGCGCGCTCTGGCAGCTCTCGCGCCGGAAGCGCGAGTCCCGAAGGCGCAGCGCCATTGCTGGGGGCGCCGAAGCTTCCCGTCGGCCCACCCGCTGGCCCCTCCTCGTCTCTTCCTCATCGTCCTTCGCATCGTCAGCATCATCATCACGTCATCGTCGTCACCATCAGAGTCGTCCCCATCACCGTTATCGCCGCACCGCTTACACGCTCCGCTGCCCCACATAGCGCGGGGGGGGCACCTCTCGAGGCCACCCTGCCCCTGTCTCGCGGTGGCACCTCGCTGCCTCTTGACCTGCGTCGCACGCCACGCCATAGCCTCACACCCCCAGTGTTCGGATGCAACCCCTGGGAGCTCAAAATCTGTTTTCGCCCTGGTCCGGAATCTGGCTCAATCCGGCCCAATCCGGCTCAATCCCGCTTAATCCCGCCGAATCCCGCTTAATCCGAGGCCCACTCCGGCACAACAGCCCCCCAATGGGGCTTAATCCTCTTTCATCTTTCCAGCGAAAATCTCCCAGCAGTTGCCTCCTGACCAGTGGACTGTGTAGGGCGGGCGGCCTCAGGCAGGGCGGCCTTTGGCTTGCCGCTCGGTGCTGCTCGGCGGGCGGGCTGCGCCCCTCTCCCGCCTTCCCTGCCCGTCCCGGCCCTTCCCGCGCGCCCTCCTTCTCCGTCTCCTGCCACGGGGCCCCTGACTTCGGCAAGAGGAAGTGCCGGGCCGCCCACAGCTCCCTGCACGGAGGCCGCGGCCTTGCCCGGCGGGCGCCCTGCGCGCCATCGGGTGGCACCCCACCTGGCTCCCCGTCGTGGGGCAGGTGGGCCCCGAGTTGAACGGGTCCTGAGGATTGTTTCTTCAAGGGCTCCCACGAGGGCGCGAAGTTATTCGCGCTTCGCGCTTCGCGGTCCTCGTTCCTTCTCCCCCTCCTCCTCGTCCTCCTATTCTCCCTTTGGGGGGGGCGGCGCGAGAGCGCGAAGTTATTCGCGCTTCGCGCAGCGCGAAGCGCGAAGTTGGGAGCCCTTGTTTCTTCGCCGTTCCTGGGCTCTCGTTGCACCCGCCGGGCCCTCGGGTCGGGTCAGGTCGAGCCGCAGGCTGCGCGGCAGCCCATGGGCAAGTGCACCGGGCACGGGCCTGGGCCCCGTCTCTGATGGCGCCCGCCCTGCAAGCCGCACAGCGCAGCGCTGGATGTGCATGCATGGATCTGCAGTGGTTCAAAGGAGGGAGAAAGGACGCATGAGAGTAGGAGGGGAGGGACGCGCGACGAGCGAGGACGAGAGGCGAGGCCAAAAGGGAGAGAGGACGTCGAGACGAAACACAGGACGAAGAACTGGCCCTGGGGGAATCGAAGACCGGCAAAGGCACAACAGGCATTCGGTGGACCGCGCGGACCTCCTGAAGGCTCTTCTGATGCAGCTCGCTGCTCTTCGGGGGGAGGTCCCAGAGGCCAGGATCCGCTTCCCTCGTGACCCGTTTCTCGGGGTCGGCAGGGAGGGAGGTGATGATTAGGGGGGAGGATATCATGGCGAGGGCTATGATTTCTCCCCATATTGCATGGCGCCTCTTTTTATTTCCCAACCATCCTGTGGTGTTGGGTCCTCGTTTTGAAGAGACAGCACCCCGTGTTCCTTCCTTCCCGCTGCCCACTCCCTCTTCCCCCTCCTCCCTCCTCCCATCCGCGTCGTCATCGTCATCGTCACTATTATTATCATCATCATCATCATCATCATCATCATCATCATCATCATCATCATCATCATCATCATCATCGCCATCGTCATGATCCACATCATCATGATCATCACCATCGCCACCGTCAGCGCCTCGCCCCTCACAAGGTTCGTGGAAATACAGGGAGCTTCACCGAAGGCCAGAGTGGCAGCGGTTGCATGCGTCACCGCCGCCCCCCCCCACACACTGGTTGGTGGGACACCCTAGCTCTGGAGTAGACCCACTAAAAGAAATGGCACCTCAACATATGGAAACATATGCGGTGCCGCGTATTAGTTTACCGCATGAAGCGGCAGCGTTGAAAAATGATCAGTAGCAGCCCCAGCGGCACACCCGTGAAGAAGGTGCCAGTGAAAACGGCGCTGGGTGGAAAACGCGGTGCCCCCCCGCCCCCGTTGGGAAAATTCCCCAGAACGACAATCAACAGAAACCCGCAACGGCCTAAGTGCCGCAGTGGCCGTCACCCACGGAGCCCGTCCAACAACCACGCAGAGAGAGGACTTTTACGATGTTTCCACTCGTCACCGAGTCGTTGCCTCAATCCGCAGTGGTGCCGTAGGGGTGATCCTAGGGGCGACCGCCGCGACCCGTCGACCTTTGCGGTCCCTGCCGATGGCCACTCCAAAGAGCCTGGCAGCGGCAGCGGGTGGCGGTGCGAAGTCATGCCTCCACCGTCGCGTCGATAGGCACTCTTATGATGCCGCTTTGTAAAGCCGCTCATTGGCGACAGGTCACTCTTACAGGTCATCAGAAGACGACGCATGGTGCCGCGTAGTGCCTACTAGGTTTGCCTCGGCCGCAGGAACGGCCGACCCGGTGACCCCGAGCAGCGTGTCCAGGGACAATTGCAGGAGGGACAACCGCCGCCCCATTTTGGCACATTCCTCACACGGTTCGTGGCCCCATAGGGAGCTCCGCCGACGGCCCCAGCGGGAGCGTCCGCATTGCACCGCCGCCCCATTTCGGCACACCCCTCACACGGTTCGTGGCCCCGTAGGTTAGGGAGTTCCACCGAAGGCTCTAGCGGGAGCGTCCGCATGGCACCACCGCCGTTTCATCTTGGCACACCCCTCACACGTTTCGTGGCCCCGTAGGGAGCTCCACCCAAGGCCCCAGCGGGAGCGTCCGCATGGCACCGCCGCCCCACTTCGGCACACCTCTCACACGGTTCGTGGCCCCCACAGGGAGCTCCACCGAAGGCCCCAGCGGGAGCGTCCGCATGGCACCGCCGCCCCATGTTGGCACACTCCTCACACGGGTCGTGGTTTCATAAGGAGCTCCACCGAAGGACCCAACCGGAGCGTCCGCATGGCACCGCCGCACCATTTTGGGGAACCCTTCACACGGTTCGTGTTGCCATAGGGAGCTCCACCGACGGCCCCAGCAGGAGCGTCCGCATGGCACCGCCGCCCAATTTGGCACACCTTTCACACGGTTCGTGGTCCCATAGGGAGCTCCACCGAAGGTTTCAGCTGGAGCGTCCGCATGGCACCGCCGCTCCATTTTGGCACACCCCTCACACGGTTCATAGCGCCATAGGGAGTTCCACCGAAGGCCCTTGCGGGAGCGTCCGCATGGCACCGTCGCCCAATTTGGCACACCTTTCACACGGTTCGTGGCCCCATAGCGAGCTCCACCGATGGCCCCAGCTGGAGCGTCCGCATGGCACCGCCGCACCATTTTGGCACACCCCTCACACGGTTCGTGGCCCCCACAGGGAGCTCCGCCGACGGCCCCAGCGGGACCGTCCGCATGGCACCGCCGCCCCCTTTCGGCACACCCTTCACACGGTTCGTTGCCCCACAGGGAGCTCCACCGACGGCCCCAGTGGGGGCGTCCGCATGGCACCGCTGCCCCATTTCGGCGCATCCATCACACGGTTCGTGGCCCCAGTGGGAGCTCCACCGAAGGCCCCAGCGGGAGCGTCCGCATGGCATCGGCCGCGCACGGGGCTCGGGCGAAACCAAGAAGACTCCCCGCTTGCCCGCGTCAGCTTCTCTCCCCTAATGCACGCCGCAGTCCTTTTTGCTGCCCCCCCTCCTTCGTTTCCTCTCCGTCGCGGTACTCGCAGCAGCATATGGTTGGGTCTTTCGTCAGGCCAATTTGATACGTCCCCTCCCAACCCCCGGGCCGCGCACATGTCGCCGGCCATGATTTGCACTCCCCCTTCTTGGACGCCCCCCTCTTGGACGCCCCCGAGTTTCGCGGATGCCAGCCTCTCCTTGCATTGGGTGTCGGTCCCCCGTCTTCACGTCAAGTTTGCGTGGTGGTTCACGGAGCTCGGACACGTGGTGGTTGTCATTAGATGTTGACCCTTATTTGCCTTTGTTGCGGGGCACTTTTTTAGAGTACAGTCGGACCGAGGTATAACATCGAAGCCAGTTCAGGGAGGGTACCCTGGTATTCTTCGTGTTTGTTGGACGCTCCTGTGCGACCTCAGGAGGGTACCCTCGGATGTTTTGGTTTGTTTTGGCTGGCAGAGGGTCTCACGTTCTTGAGGGATTTTGTGCTGGCCTAGGCTTGAGTCGGGCGTGTTGCTCTACAGGAGGAAATTTCAATAATGATACAGATACTTTGGAGACGATGTTTCTTGTATTATCTGACTATAGTTGAACAGTTGTGATTTCTTCTTTAAACAATCCTCCAACTTCAGTCTTTCCCTCCACGGGCGGCTGGCCTTCTCCTCCAGCTCGCTCCCCCCCCCGCGCGTGGGCCTCGGGTCGTTTCGGCGCGCCCCGTCGTATTCCTCGCCACTTGGCACCGCCCGTACGTGTACGTTTTTCTCGGCGAGGACCATCGAGGAGCATCTCGGACACTTTCGAAAGAACTCAGCAAAGCAAGCGCGCACGACGCCGAAACGCGTGCACGGGGAACGCACGCCCGAGAGCGATGGCGAGGCCGGCAGCAGAGCGTGTCCGCCGCCCGCCGGCAAGGAGTGGGCACGCGCACCCACGGGCGGCTTTGCTGTCGGGCCGCCCGCGGGCGTTGCCCATTTGGGGTTCTGGGGATCGACCGCTGTGACCGGCAGTCTGTACGAGTAGAGGGAGAGTAGAGGGAGTTCGGGGGCTCAAGAATCGGGATCGACCGCTGTGACCGGCGGTCTGTACGAGTAGGGAGTTCGGGGGTGCAAGAATCGGGATCGACCGCTGTGACCGGCGGTCTGTACGAGTACAGGGAGTTCGGGGGCTCAAGAATCGGGATCGACCGCTGTGACCGGCGGTCTGTACGAGTACAGGGAGTTCGGGGGTGCAAGAAACGGGATCGACCGCTCTGACCGGCAGTCTGTACGAGTCTAGGGAGTTCGGGGGTGCAAGAAACGGGATCGACCGCTGTGACCGGCAGTCTGTACGAGTACAGGGAGTTCGGGGGCTCAAGAATCGGGATCGACCGCTGTGACCGGCAGTCTGTACGAGTAGGGAGTTCGGGGGCTCAAGGATCGGGATCGACCGCTCTGACCGGTAGTTTGTACGAGTAGGGAGTTCGGGGGTTCAAGAAATTCGGTATAGTCAGGGATGCGTCGTATGGGGGTCGGCAATCAGCCAGTTGCGCGGCCGCGGGAAATCGCTACCGCGCTCAGGTTGGCGCCACGGGAGGGGAAGCTGTGGGACTTCTGTGATGGGCAGATGCCACGGAAAGTTCCCGCGTAGATTTGCGAAATTGCACCCCTCTCTGCCTGGAAAGTAAGAAGACATGGACTTGGTCAGATCATGATAAAGAATGCAAGCCTTGCTCGTTCTCTGGGGCGGTTAACTACAATTGCTTCGAATGGAGCAGAACTGACGAACAAAAAGAAGGGCCCGACGTACACCAGCCGCTGTACGGCGGGGTCTCCAGAACGGTGAGATCGAGGGAGAAGGTGCGGGTGTGTGAGAGGGGTGTCTGATGTGTTCGGAGGACGCAGAGAGTTTAGGGGTAGCTGAAGGGCTTCCACGAAGAGGAGGAGGAGGAGGAGGAGGAGGTGGAGGAGGTGGAGGAGGAGGAGGAGGAGGAGGAGGAGGAGGGGCTGACATTGAGGGTGTGTGGCGCCCTTGAGGCCTTGGGCCCGCTGGGCTCCCGGGGCAGGGCCTGGGCCCCCGCGGTGCGGGGCGGAGGGCGAGGGAGCGTTCCTGCCGCTGGCGCGCGCGCTCCGACGCGTGGCCGTACAGTGCAGGCCCATGCCAAGGGACACCTTGCTCCTCCTCCTCCTCCTCCTCCTCCTCCTCCTCCTCCTCCTCCTCCTCCCTCCTCCTCCTCCTCCTCCTCCTCCTCCTCCTCCGCCTCCGCCTCCGCCCCGCCTCCGCCTCCTCCTCCTCCCCTCCTCCTCCTCCTCCTCCTCCTCCTCCTCCTCTCCTCCTCCTCCTCCTCCTCTAGGGGAACAAAAAGTGACATAAACAAAAAATTCGGAGGTCCGCGCGAGTTTCTCGGATGGGCGCTGGGCTCCCCCGGCGGCGCCTCCGGCGCCGCCCCTGGCGCGCTCCGCGCGCCAGGGAGGGGGGTCCAGCGCGGATCCGAGAAATCCGCGCGGACCTCCGAGTTTTTGTGTTTATGCCACTTTTTGTTCCCCTATCCTCCTCCTCCTAGGGTGCCCTGGGCTTCTTGGGTTTCGATGGTCTCGCCGTGGAAAGCGTGGCATTCCCGCACCAGACATCAGTGGACGGCCTGGGGTCTCAGGGTGGAGTTTCTTGTGGAAGGCTTCTCGTGGTCGGGCCCCCACTGCGCTTGGCATCTCGCTGCGCCCGGCTGCCCGCCCGCCGCGCGAGGGGATGGCGGCGCAGGCACCCATCCGCCACCCTGCTCGGCGGCGAGCGAGGGGGGGAAGCGACAAGGAGAAGGCCTTCCTCAGAGGGCGGCGGGACTTCTCAGAAGCCCTCGCACCTTCTGGGAGGCGTGTTTTTTTTGGTTTTCGGGGAAGGCTCAGAAAACTCGTCGGAAGGCCCGGCCAACGTCCGAGCCTTCCGAGGAGGGCTTCTCCTCCTACAGTCGGCCCGGATTAGTAGGTCGACCCATGCCTCCTACATTCCTACGGCAATGTGGCCCTCGGAAGGGTCTTCTGTCCTCTCGCGCGTCCTGTCCAATGAAGTCCGACTGCAACTTCCCCCCCTCCCTCGCCGCCGACCTGCACCTCCCCCCACCCTCTCCCCTCGGAGGCACCTCCGCCTCCTCCTCCTGCGATGGCGCCCCCTTCGCGGGGGACGCCGGCCGACCGCCTCGCCAGTTCTGGCCGGGCCGATCCTGGGCCCGGAATCGGTGCGCACGCCCTCCCGTCCTGGGTTCGCGCCACGAGGGCGGCCGCGCGAAGATTGGGGGGGGCATGTTCGTGTGCGTGGCTGGGCGCGTGTGTCCTCCCCGTCCTCCTCGTGCCGTGAACCTCCCGAGGTTTTCCGAGCCCCCTCCTCTGTCGACCGAAGACGCGCTGACGGCGATGCAGGCAACGGCGATGTAGGCTCCGGTATCGGTATTGTGGGAACGCGTGGCTCGCGTTTTCCTACAATTCGCTGTGCCGCTGTCGTTCGATACACTTGCACATGGGAAATTTAGGAAAGTGCGGTTCGTGACTTCCTACAAGTTGGTTCCCAACATCACCGTTAAGCAACATCGCCGTTAGCGTGGCCTTGGATCGACTCCGGTTGCCCCCCCCCCCCCGCCCGCGCGCTCAGACAGCAGCCTCGATTTCGGCCTCAGTCCGCACTCGAAGCGCGTGTACGGCGTGCTCCCCAGACTGCCACGGGCACCGAACGTCCTCGCTGGGCGGGGAGCCGCGGCCGGCGAGGGGGAGGATTTGGCAGGTCTCCGAGGGTTCTAGGTTTAAGTCGGGCGTGTCCCTCTACAGGAGGAAAATTCAAAAATAGTCTAAACATAGTCAGGGGACGAGTTGTTGTACATGTTTTGAATATGTTTGAGCATTTGTGGGGTATGTTTTATTTTTCGTCCAAAAGCCGCCTGCAGGGGGACATGCCCGACCTAGGCCCAGGCAGGCCGTGTCCGCGACTCTGGATAGGCGAGGCTCACTCGCCCCGCCTCCTCTGCAGCTGCGCGGTGCACTCCACGGGGCCCGCCCGTGGATGGTAGTGGTAGCAGCAGCAGAAGATGATACACGGGAAGAGGAGGAGGAGGAGGAGGAGGAGGAGGAGGAGGAGGAGGAAGCGGAGGAGGCAGGAGAGAGGAGGAAGGGGGGAGGGGAAGTTTGGCGGGGGAGGGAGCTGCAGGGCGGAGGGGACTCACAATTGCCAAAGCGAGTGTGGCAGCGATTTCGTTGTCCCCAGCGTATAGCGACGACAGTTGCGGGTAAGTTTCACGACTGGGATGCACAGAAGCGGGTCGAGAGGGCGAGATGTCAGCATGACGATTGGCCAATTATGAGCGTGATCAAAGTTGCAAGAGGTCTGGGAGAATCGAGAAAGGGAAGGCTACGGCGAGGGAGCGTTCCTGGGCACGATCAGAGGAAGGCGGGAATCCGAACAGCGTGTGTGTATATGTGCGTTATGCGATGCATGAAGTTAATGAACATTACGTGTGTGTATATATAATTATGTATATCTATATGCGTGTTTGTGTGTACTTTTATGTGTGCGCGTGTCGAGTATTCTGCTCCAGTGGTCTCATGCTTAATATATCGTTAGCCGCGCCACAGGCGCTTAAGACCGCCGATGTTGCTGCGCGCCTGGCTGTCGAGGAGCAATGCGCGGTGAATAGTATGCGTGTGTTCGTTACCGTGCGAGCGTCTTCACTTCACAACAGCTTTGATTATACCTGTGAATATATTCAGATCTTTCTGCGTACTTCTTTTCTCGGCATCGTACTATTCCATTGGGCACTGAGGTCTGACTATTCTGGCACTTGGTGTTTTCTTCCTCATGCCGCCGGGGATCGTGGTCTTCGCCCTAGTGGTTTGACGAACGGGTGGCGAAGGCGCTCACGCGATCGCATTTCCGCCACAACGTCCATATCGATTCCCGCATCTAGGTCAGCAGATTTCAGCCTGGAGATCGGTCGGGAGGTGGCACACGAGTCGCGAGCCCAATTCAGAGGTTGCGTGGACTCCCATCCGAGGTTTATATCACAGGCTGGATTCGATTCGGGGTGTTGGACGGAGGGTTCGGTTTGACCATCAGTTCGAAGCGAAGAGTTGCGATGGCCGTCCTGGACTAGTAGGTATAAATAGTCAGTGGCACAGGAAATGCGCAACGGTGCAGTCAAATGGCTGAAACATGGAACAGTGTTGGTTCAGAAGGAGCCCCTTGTTTAGGTCCTTCCATGCTTGTTACCTCAGTGCTCCTCGTGCACACAGGCGCTTATTGGGCCAAAGAGGGGCTTTGTTCCTTACTCTGCATTCTTTATGGTGATAGCTTGACTGCAGGTTGAGAGAAGGACGAACGATGGGGAGGAAGAGGAGAAGGTGGATAGAGGAATTGGGATTCCTTGGTGTTCGGGCTCTGACTCATCCTTGATGGTTGTGTGCCCTTTGTGGTGTAACCAGTGTCCTCGCGGCTGGGTCAGCGTACACGTTCTGTCGATGCACGCTTCGGTCTCTGGCGTCCACGTGCCCCAATTGCATGCCCATTCTTGAATCCAACAATTTGCAGATCCTCATGTCAATATATTCCCACAAGGGATATCTGCATCCGCGCGGAAGCAATCGATAGTGTGATAAAAGCACGGCTGAATCAGTTGCAAGGAGCTCGCGTGATATCTTCGTCCCGGGCACTGAACACAGCATGATTCGACGCCACTGGTGCCTCCGCGGGGGCTCCCAGGGAGCTTCCAGGGAGTCTCCCCGGATTCTTTCTTTGAGCCATCTCGGGTGGGAAGAGGTCTTGTCCCCCTGCTGAGGCCAGTCTAAGCACACCTCTCTGAGGACATGCAGTCTGCCACTTGGCCAAGCACACGCTCTAAGGCCACAGTATGCCATCTGGCCCAGCGAACCCTCCGAGGCCAAAATCGTTGAGCAATTGCTGACGACCCGCGGCTGGAGACGCCTTTTGAAGAGTACTCTCGCCTATCCGGGCTGTGCCTCCGTTTGGGGAAGTCTTGCATCATCCCATGATTTCCAGGGGAGTTTGAGGACTCGCGCCAGGCCACTGCCCACGTCACGACCGCATGAGCCGTCATGCCGGTCGCGACGAACACGGAGTACCTCGGAATTCGTGTTGGGCCCGACGAGTGGCCACAATTCGTGGTCCAAATCGCGCCAGAAGGTGCTCGACCTGGTTCGGGCGTGGAGCAGAGGGGGCGGGGGAATGCAGGTGTCAAAGCCATCGAGTTTGCGAAAACGTTGTTGTACAGATGTGCCCCCCCCCCCTCTGTGCGATAGACACGGCCCCATATAGACATGTGCGGACATATATGTGTATATATATATATATATATATATGTATTCATATAGAGATGTGCGAACTCTTGTATATATACGTATATATATACACAAAATGGACTGACTAGCCCGCGCGAAGTCAATCGGACACCAGAACTTGCACTAATCTCACCGATCCCGCCCCCAATTTCATTATCAGTCGTTCGAAGGTTGGCCATCTAAGCATCAGCATGTATTTTTGGTGCGTTACACAGCTTCCTCTGCCACACAAGCAATTGTATTTCACAGCCCATTGATGTGCACACCGCACCCTCTTTGTTTTTTGGAATGTATTCAATCCGATGCAAAGCCCCCGTCTTGTTTCCTCCCCTCGGGTTTTTCTAGGCCTCCCAAATGGTGTCAGAGTAAATGGGGTCGGAGGATCGCGCCGCATCGCCGATGCATCGGCGATGCGGCTCGATACAGCTCGATGCGGAGCCCGATTTTCGCCACGCCGACGGCGGCGATTCATCGCCGACGTCACCGATGCATTGCCGATGCAACGCCGATGCATCGGCGATGCGGCTCGATGCAGCTCGATGCGGAGCCCGATTTTCGCCACGCCGACGGTGGCGATGCATCGCCGGCGTCGCCGATGCCTCGCCGATGCAACGCCGATGCATCGACGATGTGGCGCGTTCCTCCGACCCCATCTACTCGGACCCCGTTTGGGAGGCCTCTGGATTATGGCCTCGTCCACCCAGTCGTCTGACTTGAGCGCCCGCCTATCCGCCGTTACTTCTCGCCCGGCCGCCCAGCTGGTTGTCAGGGTTCGCCCGCCACTGTGCGCTGTTTGACCGCCCGTCGGTGCTCGTTCGCCCGCACCCGCCCGTCAAGGCTTCCCCGCCCGCCTGCCAAGGCTTGCCTCCCCAAATTGCTACAACTATGGCAAGTGCACTGTCGCCACTGATGAGTGTCAGGAGGGAAAGAAACACACAGACACAATTAATCGTCCACTCCCAGGAGAATGTGGGAAAATATAGTAAGTGGGGGGGAAGACAAAAACCAAGAAAATATAGGAAAATAAGGGGAATATGTTATTTGTGTGCATTTATTTGTGTGTCCTGGGGCCCCTTCAGAGTGGGCAAAGCGAACCTCCTGGGAGGTGAGCCCCCTTGAAGCGAACCCCCAGGGGGAATTTCCCGAAGCGAAAGCGAGCCTCGGGCGGCCTTTTTGCGAAACGAGTGTCTGGTGGATCAGAGATCAGCCAAGCGAGCTTCCAGCGAAGTGGGTCTGTGCTCCATCCAGGCGTGCCAGCCCATGCTCGTGAGGGGAAGTTGGGATGTACCCTCCGTCGATCCTAGGGCAGTGGATTCGAAGAGCCCAGTAGTCAATAAGGCACGACGACGGAATCTCTTTCAAATCGTGTAGACTGCATGCTTGTTCATTATCTTCCGGCATTGTTTCATGAATAGTGTCACCGAATGTTAGATAATTCGATTGATGTGACATATCATGTTTGTTGATGTGACGTATCATCAAATGGGCGTTGCCACATACTTGGTCGAAGTGAGCACTGCACGCTTGCTCAATGTATCCTCACCAGGTCGAGCATGCAGTGCTGAACAGGTCGTTTGTCTGCATTTTGTGGTGGCGATGATCTAACCTTGTTCAGCCCCTGATATATTTCTTTCGATCGATCGTATATTCAAGATGTTTTCTGAGGTCTGCGAGTGGCTGTACAAAAGAAGGAGACGAAGAGCAGCTAAAGAAGATAGAGTACCACTTGGCAGCGCAAGGCACTAACTATATCGCGTCGAATGGTTTGCCACGACTTGTGTGTTCTGCCGGTCAAATGTGTTCAGCTACGCTTACTCACCAGCACTTGGCGCTAACTCTGTGCATCTTCTGGCCTTGACATAACATTGTTGAGCTTGGCCATAACATTGTTGAGCTATGTTGTCTGCCTGGCTGCCGTCCCAACCAGACCCAGCATCCCTTGGCATGGGAATGGCATGCTTGGCTTCGCAGGTGGATTGAGCCTTGAGCCCTTGCCACCATTCCCACGCTACCCCTTCTCGCATCCCCCTGTTACATTCCCTTTCGCCCCCGTCCTTGTCTCACCTCCATCCATCTCATCCATCTCTCAACTCATCTTTATCCATCCCATCTCTCGCCCCATCGGCGACAGCTGGCCAGGCAGAACGAGCGCCGTAGGAAAGCCGGTCATGTCCTCACGTCTTTGTCTCTGTTTGCTATTTCTTGCTCTTTCTTCATTCCTCTTCCGTCGCCTACCCTGCCTCTAGTATGCCCCTTCCTCTGTCACTACCTCCCATCCCCTCCCTCCCTCCCCATCCCTGGCTCCCCGTGCCTCTCAACGTCACTCCGTCTGTCTCCTTCCCCTGGTATCCCCCCTCCTCACGCTTCTCCCCCACTTCGCGGAACGCCACCTGGCCACCCCACCGGTTTTGGGCCGATGCCGTGCCCGGCTGGGACCGGCGAGGCGGTCAGTCGACGTCCCCTCGCCGAGCTGCCCTTTCACGTCTTCCGCCGCCCGCTCTCCCGCGGCTGCCCCTCGCGCCCCCGTCTGCCCGATCCCCCGGCCTGCCCGATCCCCCGGCCTGCGGTCGGGCTCTGTCCGTGGCTGCGTCGGCCTCGCCGGTCCCCGTGCGCACGCCACCTGGGCTGCCCGTGGGGAAGGCAGCGAGGAGGAGCGGGGGAGCAGAGGGAGGAGGGAGGAGCGGGAAGGAGGGAGGAGGGAGAGGGAGGGGTGTGCTGTCTGTGGCCCTCGCTTCGTGGGGGCGAACTGCAGAAGAGCAGAAGCGTCCCATGCAGCAGCTGCTCGTCGCACTCGGTCCGAGGCGCTGCCGATACCGATGCGGCTCCACCGAAACTTCCCGCAGAGAGAAGATGGGGGAGGAGGTGAGGAGAGGGGTCCGAGGCGGAGGAGGAGGCCCCAGGCAGGGCACGGGGGAGGGAGGACGGGGGTGTGGAGGAAAGGGGGGATCACGGGAGGAGGGAGGGCAAGAGGCGGGAGGGAGGGAGGGAGGGATGCAGGAAGGGGAGAAGGAGATGTGGAGGGAGTGGGGGAGGAGAGGAGGAGAGGATGAGGCGAAATCGATTGAAAGCCGTTTCTCTTCGCCAATTTAAAGGTTTTCGGGAAGCGCCGTTCTCACAGTTGCAAGCTTCTCCGAAATGCCTGGCCCAATCCCCAGTAGATGTTGTATCCGAATCAGATGTGGTATGCTTTCCCAGGGTCGCTAAAGAAACGTTACCTCTGTGCAGAAGGCTCGCGGCACCACGTTACGGTAGCTGTTTTGAGCCAACATTGTCAGCGAACGCACGCGTACTTATCGCACGCGAGCATTCGCACATAAAGTTGGCGACGATAGCCTAATCGACGGCGACGGCAGCAGTAAATGACAACCGACACTCCTCCGACGAGGAAGGAGGATAGAGAAAGGAGGGGGAAGACAGAGGTAGAATGAGAAGGGGGAGGAGGAAGAGACTGAGCAGGCGAGGATGGGAGAGGATGAGGACAGGCGGAGGCGGGGATGAAGAATAGTCGGGGCTAAGGAGGTCGAAGAGCGAGTAGGGAGAAATGGGGGGACAACGAGGCGGAGGAGGAAGAATGAGGGGCAAGGAGAGGAAAAGGAGCGAGGGATGTCAATCGGCGGAGTATACGCCCAGTGCGCGGAGGAGCACGAGGAGGAGGAGGCGGAGGATCAGGAGGAGGATGACGCCGACGAAGGAAAAGAGGCTAGTGGAAAGAGGTGACACGGGGTTTGAATGTGTCTTGTGTATTTCTCGTTCTATTTATCCTGCCCCTTTGCCGTGCACGCGCTCCATTTGCGTCTCCTCCTCCGCTTGCTCCTGCGCTCTTCCTCTTTCTCTTCTACTTCTTTGTCTTAGCGCTCCTTCCAAACCACACGATCCCTCATCCGTTTGTACCCCCCCGCGATCCTTCTGCGAGGGGCACGTGGTACGACAGCAGGGACGCCAGCATTGCCGGCATCTACGGCCACAGCCGCGTCTGACCAGATTTGTCATCATTGTGTTTGCCGACCTGGAGGACGGTTTTCTCTCGGCCGGTTTTGGACTCGGGCCACGCGCATGTGCGCACGCGGCCTAACCCAGCGCTCGCATGCAGGCACTTGTTCAAACATGCGGCCATGCTCCAGACGGGGAGAAGCCTCTCCCAGCGGGGCGCGGGGCTCACAGCGGAGCACGGAGTATGCAACATCAAGTGCATAAAATCCAGTGCGCACGATGTGAGACAATCGAGTGCACACCATGTGTCGGGGGCAACGATAGGGGGGGATAGGCGTAGGGGGGATGCATCGACCCCCAATCGCCCACTGAACGCCGATAGGGGCCCGACAGCCCCAACCCGCCCAGGGAAGTGCGGATGCGCTATCGGGGGCCTATCGCCGATCTATCGGCGATGCTTTGCCGATTCCAGGTCGATGCATCCCCCCCTATGCGTAAGTCGGGCGTGTCCCTCTACAGAAGGAATATTGAGAAATAGTTTAAGAAAATAGTCTGGGGACGAGTTCTGACTATTTTAAGATATGTTTTGATAAGTTTGGGGATATTCTTATTCTTCATCCAAAAACCCCCTGTAGGGGGACACGCCCGATGTAACCCTATGCCTATCCCCCCCTATCGTTGCCCCTCAATGTGGGGCTGACGGGGCGGCGCGGGCCGCCACGCTCCAGAGCCGCCGGAGTCGCTGCTCCCTTCGCCGGTGGCGGCGGCGGCGGGGTCCAGACAACTCGTCGGTTCGCCGGCACGCCCGAGACAGCTCGTCGAGACGTTCGACCAGTCGCGCGCGCAGAGCGCAGGCCGAGGAGGAGGAGGATGAGATGGTGATCGTTGTTTTATGCACTGGTTTGCCGATCGGAGCGGGCCCCCTCCCCCCCCCTCCCCCCCCCATGGAGAGGCTTCATGTGGGGGGCTGCTTCGGAGCCTCTTGGGGTCGTCGATGAAGACTTCCTTGCAATTGCTGAAGACTCGCGCTGCCCCGCCTTGGAATATCCTACACTCTACTAAGGGCCCGCTGGCTGAGGGCCCTTCGTGTGCCGCGGGGCCATCTTGGGCGCAATGGCTCTTTCCCGAAAGGGGTCGATTGAACCATCTTGGGGAAGTTTTTGGGCCGTATTGGAGCCCTCCTGGCCCGTCTTGGGAGGTTGTCGGGCAGGCTTGAGCCGATGTGTGTTTTCAGGTTCTCTGAAGGTTCTGTGCGGCGATCTTAAGCCGAAAAGCACAAGTAACAATGAATATTGATGCTCCTCATGCGTTTCAATGTTCTTCGTGTCCAGGGCCTTACTGCAGGTCTCAGGACGTATCTTGGAGGCTGATCGGTGCCCCTTGGGGTATAACTGGGGAGATCTTGGAGCCTCGGAGGCTTGTTAGGGGCGTCTTGCATTGGTCTTGAGGCGAACATGAGCTGCCGTGGAATTCTTCAGCGGGCGACAAGCCCGTGGAACAGCTACTTAGGGAGCCAATTTCTCAGACCAGTTGCGGCGAGGGGGTTCTTTTTGTTCGCAGGGGGAAATTACAGAAATCTGACCAACCAGCCAACAAGCATTCCAACATGTTCGAACGTGCCTAAAGCAGGGAGGTGTAAAGAGTCATACGCCATTAGGTCTCACACCAGTAGTCTGAAGGACTCCTATCCCATCGGGTCTCGCAGCATAGAGTCCCACCCCATGGGTTTCAACTCCATGGCGTCCCACCCTGCAGGGTCCCACTGAATAGACTAGATTGCGCTGCATGGATTGAACTGCAGAGATTGCACTCCAGTGATTGCAGAGCATGCCTTGTCCGCTTACATGGCATTCCATGGTGTGCGTGCATCCCATAAGAAGCACTGTCTTGGGTCCACGCCGGCATCATACTTTTACTACGACATGCCATTATGGATTTGAGGGCATTCCATTATGTGCCAAAGTACGGTGGACCATTTGCACGACAGCAGCTTGGTAACAAGTGAATGCGTGCAGGCAGGTTTGGAACAGGCTGCTTTGAGGCGCGTAAAAATCACCGCGAGCAGGACTGGATCCTTGATGGATGTTGTGCGTGTCGCATCGTAGATGCTTCCTTGCCTCGTTTACCCGCACCAGTGTGTAGCTTCTCATGTCGTAGACGATTGCTTTGCATTGTTCGATATAGTCATGCAGTGTTGAAGCTCGTTCTATTGTCCAAACGGGTGTTCCTCGTCCTCCTGTCTCTGATGAGTCCGTGCGTCTTGCTTGCCTCTTGGCCCATTGAATCGACCACAAATGACTCCTGCAGCCGCGCTTGGCATGTACAGAAGACTGGAGCAGACAGACTTGCGCGCGCGACAAAATCAGTCGAATGACGTAGACAGTGCTGTTGGATGCATTCACGATAGTGAGTTGTGTACAGCGTGGGACGCGGCCCTGGCCTGAGGCAAGTTCTGCTTTCAGCAGAGAGTGCTTGTACCGAGGAGGGCCTCGGTTCTTTCCCGCTGCCGTGGCCACGATGCTTGCCCGCAGGGTCCGGACCACAGATCCCTGGCGCCGGTAGCAGTGTTTGGCCACCTGAGAGTCCGCGTCCCTGCCCCTGCCTGCTAGCGTTGCCCCTGCCTGCTGGCTTTGCCCCTGCCTGCTGGCACATCCCAGCTCCAGCTGCCCCTGCCTGCTGGCGTTGCAGCGGTCGCCCACGGCCCTGACCGTGAGCAGCCCGTGACTGCCGGGCTCGCTGGGGCTACCATCAGGGCCCAGCCCGTCGTGTTTCTGGGCCTTCTGTTCCCCCGTCTGCAGGGGCTGCGTGCTGCGGGGGACGCTCATGGTTTCCAGCTTCAGCGGCGAGGGAGGAAGGAGGAGCTGGGAGGAAGGAGGGGAAAATGGGAGGAGGAGGGGAGGACTAGGCTGCGGGCAAGGAGGGGGGGCCTCAAGACCCGCACCAGCCCGAACAGGATCCCTGAACGGGAGCGGGTCTTGGACTCCACCTCTCGGCGGCGAGCGAGGGGGGGAGTGAGAAGGAGGGGGCCTCCTCAGAAGGCGGCGGTGCTTCTCAGAAGCCCTCGCGCCTTCTCAGAGGTCTTCTGCGTCTTCGGGGGGAGGCTCAGGAAGCTTCTCGGAAGGCCAGGGGACTTCCGAGCCTTCTGAGAAGGCCCGCCCCTGCTCACTTGCCCCCCAGGCTCGCTGCCGACAGCTAGCGGGGTCCATCGCATGGGGTCGTCAAAGCTTCAGTTGCCCCTGTCTGCTGTGCTTCTGGTCAGGCGGTACTGGAAGAGGCGGTCGACTGCGCGGTGCCTCGCGCACGAGCTGCCCGCGTGAGGCACGCGTGAGCGCCTTCACTCCCACGTGGAGTGCCACGGTAGCGGCCCGCGTAAGCCATTGCGTAAGGTCGCCACGCTCTCCCGCGTAAGGTTTCTTCCTTTTCGTCGCCCAAGTGAGCGACAGAAGAGAACGGGGTGCATTTGCGCCGAGATTCGCGCATAAGCTTCTTGTGTAAGGTCGCGTGTAAGCGCCCTCGTTTCCAATGTATCGTGCCGCGCTGGCGGCCCGCGTAAGCCGCCGCGTAAGGTCGCTATGCCATCTTGTGTAAGACCCCTCCCTCTTCGTCGCCCAGGTGTAGTTTCAAGGGCCCGCCGATATGGCTCCAGCGTATCCCATTGGATCCCGCTCATGGGTTCTCGCTTGGTGCGTTGTGGCATGTGTGTTGCAGTCATCCGCTTTGGTTGGTGCCTCCCGTTTCCCGCTCGTTGCCCTCTGGCACGTGTGTTGTAGTCGGCCCTCCGGGATTCTTTGTCGGTGCCCTGTGGTTCCCGCCCCATGTCCCGTGGCATGTGTGCCACAGTCAGTTGTTCCCAGTCCGTCTCCACTTGTGGTGCCTTGTGGCTGGTGCCCGATGCTCGGTGCCCTACACTGCTGTGATTTGTGTCCCACGGTTGACGCCTTGTGGCTTGCACCGTGCATCGGGAGTACGATCACTTCCCGTTTGTTGTCCAAGCGTTGGCATCATATGTTATTCAAAGGTTTTGCATTGCACTCGTATCGTTTGTCCTTCACGATGGAATGCTTTGAATTGCCCTGGTCTGCTCTGACATGCACTGCATTGCGTTTCCGTGCAATTGTTTTGATGTGTTTGTTTGCAATGGTTCGTCTTATTTTGATTGCGTTGCATTTGTTCATGCATCTGCGTTTCACGGCAGAGCTTTGCAATGCAATGCCACTGCAATGCATTGGATTCCTTTCACGTCGCGCATTAATTTTCATCGCTTCGCGTTGAACTGCCATGTGTGTACCGTCGTCTGTACTCGTTCCGTGTTCTTGTTATCTGTTCAATTTGTTTTCAAACCGTTTGTGGGTACGTACGTGCGTGCAGCTCGGAGTTTGTCACGGGAAGGGGCTTGCTAGAACCTAAGCGCACGGTTCGAGTCTCAAACGTTGCAATGACCACCTCGCCGGGTGAGTCATCGAGGATCCAGGGTGAGCGCACGATTTTCTGACCTGGGTCGTTCTCCGAGGATATCTCGGTCGATTGGGGCTTCCAAGGCCCCAAGACCGTGTGGTGACGGACCGTACAGTTCGCCCACAGGGTCCCAGCAGTTTCCTGAAGTGTCGTGAAGTGACGGGCAAAAGTGCGGGGGAGAGACCTTCTGGGGCCGTCCGGCGGATCTTTTCGGGATTTCTTTCGGGTGGCTTTGGGGCATTCCCGTGGCATCTTGGGATTCTTTGGGGCCGTCTGACGGCGCTTTTGAGCCGTCTTGCGCCTTCGGAGGCCATCTTGGAGGTCCTCTTGGGCCGTAGTGGTGTCTTTTTTCTGGCATAGTTGGGCTCACCGTCTCGGGGGCCTCTTGGGTCGTTCTTGGACGCTCTTAAGACTGAAAAAACAGATGAGAATCATAAACACACAATAACCTAATTTAGTCAACGATCCTGGCCTTTTGGGCCGGTGCCCATGATCTTATGACGGCCAATTAGGCTCCTAAGAGGGCTTGTCGGACCCTCTTGGGGCCATCTTGGGGCTACCTCTGATCTCCGATACTGTCTCCGTCCCGTCTCACCCCAACTCTTTGTTACAGTGATATGTTCCGGTTTCAGTTTCTTGTTATTTCCCTCCTCTCTCACCCTCTCTCTCTCTCACTACCTTGCGCTTGCGTTCTCAGCGGGGCCAGTCGCCATTGGAGCGACTGGGATGCCGATGGCAGCAACTCTTCTATTGGCTCTGGGCTTGTAAGACCTGGAAGAAAGTCCAACCCATGAGGCAGATCTCCCTAACGTGCGTGACAGGTATAGCGTTCAGATACTGGGCCAGGGAATGTGTGTACAGTATCTGTTTAGTGCGCATCGAACCGCTGTGGGCTCGAGCAGGGTCCATCCAGGCCGCCAGGGGGGCCCAGCCAACCACAGCCAGCGGGCACGAGCGTTCCCACTCCTCCCTCCCTCCTCGTCCTCGTCCTCTCTCCGTTTCTGTCCCTTGCCGTCCCTCGCTTTGTCACGCCTTTTGTCTCGTCGTCCGCCTGCTCTTCCGCCTGCTGCGTCGCTTCCGTTTTCTTCGGCATTCCCCCTCCGCGTCCCTATTCCTCCTCCCTTCTCACTCCTCCCTCCCTCTATCTCCCGGCTCATCCCCCCCTGCTCCTTCACAGTGATCGACGACGCCTACGGCGAGTCACCGCCGCCCCCTGGCTTGTGGGCGCGCTTGTGCGATGAAACGTCGAGCGAAAGTGCGGCCATGCTGGTGCACAGCGTGTTCCCCCAACCGTTGTAACCTTGGGGAGGGACCCCCTGGGGCCGTCTTCGGGCTCTTCCCGGGCCTTTTGGGGGCATTATTGGGGCCTTCCTGGGGCTCTCTGGGAACCCTTGGGCCACCTCTGATGAGTCGTAGGGCGCTTACGGGCCGTCTAGTTCCTTCGGAGGCCGTCGTGGTCCATAGGCCGTTTTGGGGCCCTCTTGATACCATTTGGGGCTGTCGGCAGTCTTAGGACCCTATTGGGCCGTTTCGGGGACCTTCTAAGCCATCTAAGACAGTAGAAGATCAGATCAGTGGTGCTGAGGGAAAAGGAGTAGAGCATCCAGTGTACGCTGCGTGGCCAGGTAACGCAAAGATCCCCTGGGATGTAAGGCATATCCACGGGGAAGGTGCCCTCGACGAAGGTCTTGTGTCGCTCCCACCGCCATGACCTACCCCACCACCCAGCCCCAATTCTATAAAGTGCCCCGTGCGACTTCACCGAGGGCAAGTGAGACCACTCCAAAGGCCGCACTGGCACGGTCAGCCCTGATCCACTCAGGGCCGACCGTAAGCCTATGAGCTCAACTAATGTGCACTCACGGCTGAAGCAGTACGCGGCCTCCTCAATTCCGAGTTTCTTCTTTCCCCCCCCCACCTCCTCCCACATAGTGGTGTTTCTTTCTCCTGGCGGTAGACGAAATCATGTGATGTAAACGCATTCCAGTAGGACGAGACATACAAGACAGCGATAAAGACTTGAAATGGGCACCAGCTGAAGATTGAGCATCAACTTGTGAGGTGAGAACAGCAGAGGCTAACATGTGACATGCTGCATTGGTCGCCTATCAGACGACAGCTGAAGCTAACAGGCGACATGGTGCCTCAGCCACCAATCAGACAACCGTGGGAGCTAACAGGTGATATGTTTCTTGGGCCGCCTATTAGACGACGGCGGACGCTAGCAGGTGGCATGCTGCCTTTGTCGCCACATGCTGCCTCAGCCACCTAACAGACAACTCTGGGGGCGAACAGGTGACATGTTTCTTTGGACGCCTATTAGACGACAGCGAACGCTAACCGGTGACATGCTGCCTTTGTCGCCTATCAGACGTCCGCAGAAGCCAACAGGTGACATATAGCCTGGGGCACCTATTGGACAATGGCGGGAGCTAACAGGCGACACGCCTAACAGACGACAGCAGCAGTTAACGGGCGGCATCTTGGCTTGCTCACCTGTCCGACATCAGCGGGAAGTCACAGTTGACATGCTGTCTTCTTGTCTTTCTCTTCCTCATCCTCCCTCCTCCCTCCTCCCTCCTCCTCCTGCCCCTGCCGTCAGTGCACCAAATCTTGCGTGCAGACCCGAGGCTGGCGCAGTCTGTGCTGGCTGGCCTGCGAGGGCACTATGATTGAGCGGCTGAAGCTTGAGATGCCCTGTAAAACCTTGCGAGTGCTTTACGGTAGGTTCGCGTCGTGTCGACCAGCGGCGACCCCGCCGACGGCGTTCAATTTTGAACGCCGCGGGCGACCCAGAATCGCTCGATGTGGAACGATTTGGACGTTTCGGAAACGGCCGATCATTCAAGGTTGAACGACCCCCGCGCTGTCAGAAACCAGCGCCGAAGTCGAGAAGGCGCGAGAACCTGCCGTGCTTCAATAGTGTGAGCCTGGAGCGCTTCCCTCCTCCCCCTCTCGGGTATAGCCAGGATACCAGGTGAGGGGGACCCAGTCAGTAGTAGGGCCCCAGAGCCCCTAAATTGGCCAGAATCACCGAACCAGGTCTGCCGGTGCCGGTGTTTTGTTCGGGTGATTGCAGTTCCGGACCATGGAACGAGGTGCGGGGGGCGCCCCCCAGTACACATCACTGACCCAGGTCCCGCTACACCCAGTCCTGTCAGCGCCCGACCTTCGTCGTCGGGCGGGCTGCGGCCGCATGGCGAGCGACTGGCCGGAGGGCGCCGCCTGCGATGCCGCCAGGGGGCGGGCAGCCACCTGGGCGCAGTGGCGCGAGGAGGGCCGCCGGTCCTTCTGCGAGGGCAGGCCGCGCCCCCCCCCCCAACAAAAAAACACAGGGAGGAGGAGGAGGAGGAGGAGGAGGAGGAGATAAGAGATAGGAGATAGGAGATAGGAGATAGGAGGAGATAGGAGGAGATAGGAAGAGATAGGAGGAGATAGGAGGAGATAGGAGGAGGGAGAAGGAGGGAGGAGGAGGGAGGAGGTGGAGGAGGAAGGGGAGAAGGAGGAGGAGGAGGTGGAAGAGATAGGAGAAGATGGAGGAGACAGGAGGAGAGGAGGAGGAGGAGGAGGAGGAGGAGGTGGCGGAGGAGGAGGCCGGTGAGGGGGAGGCAGCAGGAGGAGGATGAGGAGGAGGGAGGCTGGAGGCGGGAAGAGTTGGAGCAGGGAGGAGGAGACGAGGAGGGGGAGGGGGAGGGGGCAAGTTAGGTGCGCTCGCGCCAACATCTGACATCCTACCCCTCCCTCCCATCCCTTACCATGGCGCTGATTTTCTCTATCCGCGGACGCGTGTCGTAGCGGACCTGTGGCTCCGCGCGCGTGTGCGTAGTGGGTGGTGGTGCGCGTGCGTGCGTGCGTGTGTGCGTGGTTGTGGTTGTTGTGGTGGTGGTGTGTATGTGTGTGTGTGTGTGTGCGTGTGTGCGCGTGTGCTGTGGTGTGACGTGGTGTGGCGTCTTGGTGGTTTGGTGATGGGCCAGGTGCGTACGTGCGTGACGTGCGTGAGTGTATGTGTGTGTGTGTGTGTGTGTGTGCGTGCAGTGCGTGCGTGCGTGCGTGCGTGCGTGCGTGCGTGCGTGCGTGCGTGCGTGCGTGCGTGCGTGCGTGCGTGCGTGCGTGCGTGCGTGCGTGCGTGCGTGCGTGTCTGTGTGTGCGCGCGTGTGATGTGGTGTGACGCGGTGTAGCGTGGTGGTGGTGGGTGGGGTAGTGCGGTGGTGGTGGCGGTGCGCGGTGGTGGTGCGCGTGCGTGCGTGCGTGCGTTGGTGGGTGGAAGTGGCGGTGGGTGTGCGTGCGGCGGGGCGGGGCGTGGTGCGGCGCGGTGGTGGCGGGCGGATGGGCGCGCGAGAAAGAGGCCCGCGCTGGGGCGAGAACGCCATCCTGAACGACGGAAGCAAAACACCGATCCGAAAATGAGGCCCACGCTGCAGCGGGAGCACGATTCGGAACGATTCGGGGGCAGAAATGAGGCCGGCGCCTCAGCGAGAGCCGGGAATCGTGCGTGTAAAAAAACAGTACGCGGGGGGGGGGTCTACTACTTTCAGGCCGCCATCGGGGGAAGAGGGAAAGTAGTATTCATATTGAGTAATTGTTGAGTAATTGTAAAGGGAATCTGAGGAGGCGGGGCAGGCCGATGAGGAATCCGAGGAGGGAGGGGGGGGGGAGGAGGCCCCTCGCGGGGGAGAGGGGTGCGCTCCGCTCAGAGAAGGTCCGGCGCGGACGGTCGTGGACTGTTTTGCCCTGGGAGCCTTGGCACTCCTCGTCATCGTCGTCCTCCCCCCTTCCTTCCCCTGCCTCATCATCCACCTCCACCACCTCCTCCTCCTCCCGCTCCTCCCTCCTCCTCCCTCCTCCTCCTCCCTCCTCCTCTCCTCCTATCTTCTCCATCTCCTCCTATCTCTTCCATCTCCGCATCAGTTTCCTCCTCCTGCCGACCTCGTCCTCATCCCTTCATCCCTCGTTCGTCCTCTTACTCCGACTGCGCCGTCGGGACGGGGGGTCTTCTCTGCTCCTTCAGTCATTGGGCGGGAGATCGTCGCCGCGGCTGCGCGCAGCTCGAAACAGCTTGTCGAGATGTAGTGCAGGAGGGGGGCAAGGATTGGATTTCAGCGGGTTCTGGCCAGCGGGGCGAGAAGACGGGGAATGATTCATAGGAGGAGGAGTAATCAGAAGAGGGCGAGCGGGCGAGAAGGCAGGAGGATAACGACGACGACAAGGAGGAAGAGATGCCCCTTCGAGAAGGAGACAAGAGGGAGCCGAAGACCAGGGGGAGTAACGAAGAGACACACCAGAGTAAACCCAGGATGCATCAACGATGCTGCAGTATATCGTCCCGTCCCAAGTCCCATCCCCATAAGTGCCTACGAACATTCTTGTTTCGCTACGAGCAACGCCCCCTTGAAAGACGAGAGCATCACGGGCCTGTTATCAAATGGCCTCCGGCCCATCCCGCCACCGTGCCTGGGTTGTGGCTCAGAGTCCTCAGGGACAGATGCTTATTGGAGTCTTCTCGGAGCGTTCTCGAAGGCCTCTTGAAAACAGTTTTGGCGCCTCTTGCGAGTCTCTTGGATGCCTCTTGAAGGGCCTCTTGGGTCTCTTGGGGGTTCCTCGGGGCTTCTCGGAGCCGAAGCTCGAGATGGCGCTTCTTTGACCTTCTTGGGGACTCTTTGGCCGTTTTGGGGCCCTCTCTGAGGCCTCCTGGGGCGATCTTGGGACGATCGTGGGGGCCTCTTGGGCCGTCTTGGAGCGTCGGGAAGCCGAAAAGGCGAGAACGCCAAAATCCATCAAAAACCAAAGGATAATCCATGATTTGTGCATCTCAGGGCCCTCTTGGGAAGCCTCTTGGGGCGACTTGGACTGACCTTTCGGCAACCCTAGGACTTCTTTGACTTTTTGGGGGCCCTATCACTTTCTTGGCCCGTTTGGGGGGCCTCCTGGGCGGGGCTGACGTCCCGAAGGCCCACGCGGCACACCCCCGGAGTTCCCTGGAGTTCCCAGAGTTCCCAGAGGTCCCAAGAGTTCCCAAGAGCCGCTGGGAAACCGTGGGTCCGGGGCCTTAAGAATCTTACAGCCCCTCGACCATCCTCTCAGAATTGCATGAGCCTTGGGGGCATTCCACCACGTGCTGACGGCACGGAGGGCATATTCTCCAAACAGCGGTTGCATTTAGGACATTTCTGTTCTGCGGAACTGGCCTTGAATGTCGGTCTTGCGGCCCCGTGCTCGCCGTCGCCGCCCCGTCGCCGCCTCGTCGCCGCCCGTCGTCTGGACCTGAATGTCGGTCTGGCGGCTCCGTGCTCGCCGTTGCCGCCCCGTCGCCGCCCGTCGTCTGGGCCTGGCTGTCGGTCTGGCAGTTCCGTGCGTGGCGTCGCCTTCTTGTCGCCGCCTTGCATCGATTCCTTTTCCTTTTTCTTTTTTGGAAAAAAAGAGGATCTACCAACCCCCGGGGTTAACGGTACACCTGTTCGCATTGCAAGTTGCATGTGATTATGCCCCATCGTCCATCCCAAATATCAATTCATACCATCCCAGGCAGGCCGGAGTTCGTACCCCCCTCCATCTTCCGGCCAAAAAATATGCGCGCACACTCGTTTATCAAAAATCTTCAGTATTCAAGAATCTTTGGCAGACAATGGGATGAAGTGCGCACGCGCGCGTCGTCGCGTGCGCATGCCGAAATCCTTCGAAATCCTTAGAATTTGGACTCTATCGGCCTACGCCACATCCACCGACCCCTTACATGAGTTCAAGGTTTCGATGGTGCTTTTCGGTGTGTGGAGGTTTCTTGGGGCGGAAGGCTAGAATTCTCGGTGCGGGGTTCCCCTCTTGGGTCCGTGTTGGGGCTGGCTTGGAGGTTCTTTTGGCCGGTCATGGGGCCTCTTGGGCCGTCTTGGAAGTTCTTAGGTGTTTTTGTTGGCCCGTCTTGGACGTAGCGATGGGGCAACAAACGAATCAGACAAGCATATACGTTTACCCAAAGGGATTGGACGATATTCTCGTCTTGGGCCGCTCTCCAGGAGCCACTTGTAGGTCTCTTGGGGCGTCTTGCAAACATCTAGGACCGTTTCGAGGCCACTGTGAGAGTTTGGGAACGAACTTTCGGCGATTTGATGCCCTTTTGGGCCGTGTTGGGGGCTTCTTGGGAAGCCTCAAGGGCTCTCATGGAGATCTAAAGGGAGCCCGGGGACGCCTCCGTACTAGCATAGGAAAACACAGGACACCGACCACGGCGACAAAGACGACGACGACGACGCAAGCATCCGCATCAGCAGCCACCACGACCCAATGACTCCGACTTTCAACGCCACTTGGAAAAGCACCTCGCCAGCAACAGCCCACCAAGTGACCTGCAAGAAGCCTGCACGCTCACCGAACGAGCACTCAGAGCAGCGCACGAAGACCACCAACGACAGCAAGAGCACGAACCACAGCAACAGCCACTCACAACGCGCGGAGACGATGAGGCCTCACGACTACTACAAACACTTCTGACCCAGCGCAGGAACACACCACACACCGACACGACCACTAGAACAGCTCTCAGCAAGCGTATCCTACGGCAGCACCGGGCCATCAAGAGGACTCAAAGACAAGCGGCACTCAACGACATCATAATGAAGTTCCGTGGCCTCAGCAAGATACCCGGGATCAAATCTAGTAAGAAGAAGGACCTCATCCAATCCATGACGACCGTGGACGGCAAAAATGAAACAGACCGGAAAGGGATAGCAGACGTCTTCGCTGATTTCTACGAGGAGTTGTACCGGCGCTCCACCAATGCCGACAGGACCACAAACGACGAGGCGACCGACACCGCCCACCAAGCCATCCCACCTTTCACCAACGACGAACTAAAGCAAGCAGTGAAACACTTCAAAAGCGGCAGATGCAGGGACACGGCTGGCCTCACTGCAGGGCTCTTGAAAGCAGGGGGGAGACGACCGTGCAGCACTTACTCTAGCTCTTCAACGACATTCTCGCGCCTAACCAAACACCTCCCGAGCAATGGAGGCGCACCACGATCAGTGTCATTTTCAAGTCCGGCGACCCGCATTTGCCCAGCAACTACAGGCCAATCGCCATCATACCACTGCTGTACAAATTGATGTCTCGACTGCTATGCAATCGGCTTGCGGCGCTCTTCGACTCACAACAGTCACCCGACCAAGCTGGCTTCCGCAAGGGCTTCTGCACAGAGGACCACCTTTCACCCCAACTATGCTGCACGAGAACTCCTACGAGTGGCAGTTAAATTTATGGGAAGCCGCAATCGACTTCAAAAAGGCGTTCGACTGCGTGGACCACGATTGCCT